CCTTTCCACACCAAAGAGGGATGGTGCTGTGCCATGTCTCTCTTAATTGGCCATAGTCTGTCACCTATCTTAGTAAGAATGATCATTTTTGCAATGGTAGATCACCTTGCCAGGCTGGCCAGAATACTGTGGATTAGAATGTGGGGCTCATATCCATCTGTCTTCCTCTGCTATCCCCGACCCCCACTCACTAATAAGCATAAAGTGGCCCAGCTCTTCCAAGTCTTACGTTCCGTTCCCAGTTTTCGTTAGGAAAACAAGCCCCTTTCTGTCACGTCAATTCTGACTCACAGTGGTGAGCCTGTAAGAAAGCACAGACCTTGTAAGAAGGCTGTCCTATAGGATTTCATAAGCTGTACGTCTCACATCTTTCACCCGTGAAGCAGCTGTAAGTTCGAACAACCAACCTTTCAGTTAGTAGCTGCTTGCTGTAACCAACCACTGTGCTGCCAGGGTTCCTATAGTTGTTAGCAAAAATCAAGTAATCATGGCATGTCATAACATAATGAAAAGATCTTTGGGCTGGCAATTGGGAGCTCTGAGGTTCCCACCAGCATCTTCGTCACTTCAGCCATGTAAATGTTGTTGTTGGTAAGTACTATCAAGTCGAGTTGGTTCCAACTCATAGCTCCTTTGTATAGGGTTTCCAAGGAGCGGGTGGTGAGTTTGAACCATCAACCTTGCATTTCAAACCAACCTTGTAGTCCAGTGGTTATCCTGCAGCGCCACACCAGGAGTCATGTTGCTAGAGCATTTAAATTACCTGATATATATATACAAGTATATATAGATACTAAGTTTAATATGCATATATAGTATGTAAGTATGTATGCACTCATACATACATGTGTTTGTTATTAAGCCATCGAGTCAGTTCTGACTCATAGTGACCCTGCATAGACTGAGAACCCCTTTTGCTTATGAAGTTCAGTGATTTGGGATTCCTGGTAGAATTCTTTCCCTTGTTTATTTAATTCAAAGCCTTGAACTTGTGAGTTAGAAATGCTGACTGAATTATGGGAAATGCCTCAAATTCTTGTTCTTTTTAAAAGTTTATAATTAGAGAGTAAGTGTTAGAGCTGATACTTTCACTGTGTTTTCAATTTGGTGTGTAAACCTGAGAGGGAGTTATGGCAGAGACGCCCCATTGCCCCAGGTTGGGCATAAAGATGCTTGTCAAGGCCATGAAACCTAACTTGTGGCTACCTCCTTCAGGGCTGACCACCCATGACTTGCCTTTTTCTCCTTGACTTGCTTCCTGATCTAGACCTAGGAAAGGCGAGACCAAACAGTGGTGTCATTTGGAAATGGTCTGAAGATGTTTCTGACTCTTACTCTTACTCTTTTTTTGGTTGATGTGGTGTCATTGAATGCTTCCAAACCAAAAAAAAAAAACTGAACTCAATACCATCAAGTCAACCTTTCAGTTAGCAGTGAGCTCTTAACTTAACCACTGTGCCACCAGGGTGCCTTGGAAGCTTCTAGGCTGCTGAAATCTGCATTCCCCAACCCCACAGCCTATCTAGATGAAGTTCAAGGGGGAGCCCTAGAGGGCTCTCAGGGAAAGAAGGGATTGTTGGTGAGTGAAAGAAGGGGTTGGTTACTCTGTTCGTTCTTCATGCCGCACTGTGTGATGGGAGGGTAAGCAGCCTGTCCCAGGCAAGTCCAGTTGGAGGCTCAGACGAGGGAGAGCACAGTGTTGTCATAACATGTCTCCAGAGAAAGTCACAGGAAGTAGTAGAGGGGGTATCTAAGGTCATTCAGAGCCAGGAGCTACTTTTCCTGGCCAGACAATGATCCTCAGGCAGCCAAATTCTCAATTTTGCCAATTTCTAGCTGCCAGACACTATTGATTCGCATAGCTGTGTTTTAAATGTTTCTTTTTTCTTTGTATTATCAAAGTAGAACCAGAAATGTACTGAGAGAAAATTTAAAAATCACTCATTTCTATCACCGGGGGACATGTTAGCCTTGCAGGTCTTTAATAATATGTGGATATCCAGTGTTCTGTGTAGCATAGGGGCATTTGCCTCTGTCATAGCTTTTAAATGACATGCTGTTGTTCTGTGTCATTGAGTCAATTCCAATTCATAGAATAGAGCTGCCCCCATATAGTTTACAAGACTATAATTCTTTGTAAGCGATGATCTCCAGGTCTTTTCTTCTTTGAAGCAGCTAGTGGATTTGAACTGCTGACTTTTTGATTAGCAGCCAAGTGCTTTAGGCACACTAAGAAGATATTAAATATATATGTACATATATGTGTGTGTGCATGTGTATGTATTATATATACATATATATGTATATATATAATTGTTGTTAAGTACCATCAAATTGGTTCTGACCCTGTGTAGGGTTTCTGAGGAGCAACGGAACCACTGACTGACCTTGCGGTTCAAACCATCCTTGCATTCCAGTGCATAATTCTGCAATACCACACCAGAACTTATATAGGAGTCCTGGTGTGGTCTTGTAGGCTAAGCATTGGACTGCTAACCATAAGGTCAACTGTTCAAACCCATCAACTGCTCCTTGGAAACCCTATGTAGGATTGCTGTGAGTCAGAACTAACTCCATGGCACTTAATAACAACAACACATAGATGTATATATATTGAACTTTAAAAATTTCTATATATATACACATACACACGTATTTATTGCTGTTAAATGTTATCACATCAGTTCCGACTCATAGCAACCCTGTATAATATTTCCAAGGAGTGGCTGGTAAGCTTGAATCACCAACCTTGCATTTCTAACTAACTTTGCAGTGCAGCACATTAACCCACAGTGCCGCACCAGGGTTCCATATTCACATATGTTGGTGGTCTTGTTAAGTGCCATTGAGTCAGTTCTGACCCATAGAGACCCTGTATAATGTTTCAAGGAGTGACTGGTGAGCTTCAGCTGCCGACCTTGCAGTTCAGTGTATTAACCCACAGCATCACACCAGGACTCCAGATACATACATACACACATACACACAGATTTACATGTCTGTTGTTTCTAGTGGGCGGGCTTTCTCTGCTTTCCTTTAAAATCTTGTGCTTTGCTGATCTCATGTCTGCCCATTGGTCTCTTTTTCTCAGGACTCAAAGCAACCCTCTATAGGGTTCCAAGGAGCAGCTAGTGGGTTTGAACCATTGATCTTGTTGTTATCAGTCCAGTGCTTATCCTATAGCACCACACCAGGACAACATATGTATGTATGTGTTATTGTTGTTAAGTGCTGTTGATTTGGTTCCAATTCATAACAACCCAGTATAGGGTTTCTGAGGAGCAGCTGGTGGGTTTGAACTGTTGACCTTATGGTTTGCAACCCAGTGCTGATCCTACAGTGCTATATGCATATCAGTGAAATGGTACTCACAATTGTAGAGGTGGGCAAGTTCCAAGTCCATGGGTAAGACGTCAGGCTGGAAGCTTCCAAGTCACTTGGCAGCAGAAGCTGATGAACCCAAGATCAGTAGGTCACATGGCAGGCAGGCTGGTAAGACAGCAGGCAGGCAGGTTGGGCTGGTCAGATGGCAAGCTGCTGCTGCTCCCAGAATCGACAGGTAATAATAGAGCAAGCCACTGGTTCAAGTCCTTACAACTGGAGGTCAGATGATGAGCCAGATGCTGGATCCGGACTTAGCAAAAAGCAAGCAAGCTTTACCCATGTGACCAGTATATTGGAATCAGGCCACACCCCCAAGGAAACTTCCTTTCTGTTGATTGACTGTTCATAGCAGATCTCATCATAGGGATTACTACTTCTTAACTCCAAAACCACTGAGAATTCTGACTCAGTGAAAATCTTAATGATCACAGGTGGTATAGTAACACCCAGAGTCCTGGTGTATGTTGCTAACCACAAGGTTGGCGGATCAACCCTCCAGCTGCTCCTTAGAAACACTATAAAGTCAAGTCAATATGAATTGGAACTGACTCGACAGCACTCAACAACAACAATAGTAATATGCAACAATTATTTTAAGCTCATCCTAGGGCAATAAGAAACAGGCTCCTTATCTTTTATGCTACAGTAATAGTACAGGGTTACCTGCTTTCCAGCCAAGGTTCAGACTGGTTTTTGTTTGCTTTAAATAACCTAATCATTGCGTTATGGACTTTAAGGGGTATAAAACATCTGATTCATCAACTGGATCCATTTTGGATCTATGAGGGGTCTCTTTGTCCCATATTTGACAGAATCACACAGGTTTCTACTTAATATCTTCTGTGATAATATTCCAAACAAACCTTGGGGTAATCCATATGCCAGCTCATTTACCAGAGGTTCTGTGTGGTAAGTGCCATCTACTTTTCTTTGTAATTTCTGCTATTTCTTCTGGCCCAGTCACACACAGAATTACCGTGACATTTCTTTTCATGGCATTTCCATGTACATTTATCTGCCAGATAGCCTGTTCCCTGCTGCCCCTGGCCCAGGGTCCTTTGCACTGTTTTACCCTGACATGATCGTGTTAGGGTTTACATACTATTTCTCCAGTGAGATTTTCACAACGTGTTAGTGATGATCTCTGGTCTACCTGGACCCCCTTTAAAGTGCCACAAACGAACCCCAGTAGTCATGTTGATGAGAACCCTCTGAGCTCCCCTTTTGGTGTTGTGCCTCTTGTCAGGAGAATACAGAATAGCCTTTCTAAGCTGTTATCTTTACATCTGTAAATAGGGGAGAGAGAGAGTTTATGTGCAATATATGAAAAGCACTGAAGTGGAAGGAGAGACAGCAGCTGTTGTTTCAGCCCAGACAAACAGAGAAGAAAGTCACTCAGAACAGTGTTGTCATGAAGCCGTGTTGGCTTTGACGTTGCTGCCACAGCAGCCACTTCCAATTTCTTTGATACTGTTTCCTCTGATTTGTCATTTGTGCAAAATCAAAAGAAACTGTCCCTTGGCTTAACGATGTCTGCAGCCTTTGTTTTCCTTTTCTGTTTTTAATGTGATCAATCACAGGGATTCTGGCCTTACATTGTCTCTTTCTGAATTCAGGTGGTGCTTCCCACATTTATTCTGGAGAAGCGATCCTTGCTGGAGATGTATGCAGATTTTCTGGCACACCCAGACCTGCTGCTGGCCATAACTGCTGGAGCCACACCCGAGGAGAGAGTCATTTGCTTTGTGGAGTATTATCTCACAGCCTTCCATGAGGGCCGCAAGGGGGCCCTGGCTAAGAAGCCCTATAATCCCATCATCGGTGAGACATTTCACTGCTCCTGGGAGGTTCCCAAGGAGAAGATCAAGTCAAGGAGGACTGCTCCCCCATCTCCTGCTGGTTGTCATGACAACGCAATGGCTGATGACCCTTCAAAAAGCTACAAACTAAGGTTTGTGGCTGAACAAGTGTCCCATCATCCACCCATCTCATGCTTCTACTGTGAGTGCAAGGAGAAGAGATTGTGCGTCAACACTCACGTATGGACCAAAAGCAAGTTCATGGGCATGTCCGTAGGGGTCTCTATGATAGGGGAAGGTAAGCCATGTTGTATGTTGGAATTTGGCTCTTACACAGTGACAGTTGTTTACCCAGTTGACGATTCATGGTCATGTATTCAGATTTCTCTGTTTTTATTTTGTTTTGGAATGAGGTGGGAGAAGATTGGGGATGTAGGTTTCATTAAGTTAGAACCATGTCTGCTTTTTGGTTCCAGTAATTTCCCAATGGGACTAAGCTCATGGGCTATGTGGGATATAGTTACTCTCCTAATCTGCCCAACCTTGATGTTCAAATGCTGTGTGTGTGTGTGTGTGTGTGTGAGAGAGAGAGAGAGAGAGAGAGAGAGAGAGCCTGATACAGACAGAGACAGACAGACAGATAGATAGGTTGGCTCCAAATCTGTGAAAACACATTTTTATTCATTGTCACCAGTGTTTTGGCTCACAGACAATGAAGATAACAGTGCTGCCTATTCAAAATTTGCTCGTAAAAATTCGCAAAGCAAATCTTTTCACTCTGTGTTAGAAATCTGAAGTAAGAACACAGTATAATCTCACCACTGGTGAACTACACATTCCGATTATAGCAAAGAGCTGTGAATGTAGTTTATTCATTGTTTGAAGAAACTTACAATAATCCTTGTTAAATTCAAGTGTCTGTATTAGTGGTTCTTCAACTTTTTTTGAATCACAAATCCCTTTGTGTCTCTACAGTTATGGACTCTTTTGCCAAAATAAAACAATACCTATCCAAAAATTTGACCTTCAGTTTTAGGGAGTACATGGCTCCTTGTAAGCCCTTCCAAAATCCCATGAGTAAGAACGCATCTTGCTCAACTGGAACATTTATAATGAACACCTTATTAGGTGTCCAACAGTGTCTTGGGTGCTGTGGCTACTTCAATGAACAAAACTGACTAAAAATCTCTGTCCTCTTAAAGTATCTTATCTATTGCGGGAATGAACTCGACAAACTCTGTGGTATGTTGGAAGGTGACACAAGCCATGGAGAAAAATGAAGCAGGGAAGTAGCCTGGGGTATGTTAGGAAGATGACAGGTTGAACTTGTAAGAAGGGATGGTGGAAAGTCCCCATTGAAAAGGTGACATGTGAGCAAAGACCTCAAGCAGAGGTGAGGGATGAGCCTTGTGGGTTACCAGTGAAGAGTGTGAATGGAAGAAAGAACAAGGCAGAGACCAAAAGGCAGAACATGGCCTAGCATGCTTGTAGAAGATTGAGGAAGCCTATGTAGCTGAAGCAGAGTGGCAGAGGCTAAGGATGGAAAAGGTGAGGTCAGAGATGATTGTGACCAGGTTGTCATGGCCTTTGTTTGGGATCTTGATTTTTGCCTTGAATGAGCTGGGAAGCCAGTGATGGTTTTGAACAGAAGCATGCCTTGATCTGATGTATTTTAGCAAGATTGTTTCAGCTGTTGTTGAAATAGACTACAAAAGGACGAAGGTGGACGCAAGGAGGGCACTTAGGGGATTATGATAAATTCAGTCAAGAAATGATGGTGGCTTGGACCAAGATGGAAACATTTGGAGGAAGTACATGAGATAAGTCCATGAGAACTTGTTTCAGGATCTCATGTTGGGTCTGAGGAAAGGAGCTCGAAGGTTCCTAACCTCAGCAACTAGTGTGGGAGGAGGCACTATTGGAGACCGGATGTATAAATAATTCTTCCTTACTTATCATTTGATACTCTTAAAAAAAAAAGAAACCACTCTTGGATTTTATATCTCTGGTCTGTCTCTGAGCCTTAGTTTGACCTTCTGAAATGCTTAGCGTTCATTCAGAGAAAAGACAGCAATTCCAGAATGCTCTCAGCTTAAGCTTAGCCTCTGTGTGGAGGCTTTTCATGGAATTCCATTAACCGGGCTCAATATTTGACCTGACAGTGCCCCTGACTGGCACTTAAGAAAAGGCCTTCCTCTGTAGGATTAGTCAGGTTCAAGAAATTCACTAATGAGCAAGTCAGTTTGTGAAGAAGACTAAGGATAACCTAGGGTTAGGATTCCTGGTAATACAGATGGGGATGGGAGGGTGTATAAGTGCAGGAATGTGCACATTCCTCTTTAGATAAACCTCACCCACAAGGGATGTGGTTCTTCCCTTCCTTTGGGAGAGTACAGCTTTGCATCCATCTCCTAATCTGGAAAAATCACAATGCGAGACTGGTTTGTCTTGCTTTGTCTGCTGTTGAGAAAGGGAGAAAGTGATGTCAGGAGTGGTCTATCTTCTTAAGGAATTAGTCACCAATGAAGACTGGACTCCGGTGTTTTGTAACTGAAGGAGACTGCACCCATCTGTTCAGGTCCCTGATTTTCAGCTGTGCCTTAGAGTCTCAGGGGTCCTTGGAGAGAACTCCAGCCATAAGATGGGGAAAAGGAGTGAGAGGTGGGATTTCTGCTTTCCCTCTGAACCCCACTCCAACCTAGGCATTTCCACACTTACTTGTTTACTTACTGGAGTGCCCTATATAAGAGCTCATTGCAAAGGCATTCAGTTGCTTAAAAATTTACACACTTCTGATGAGTTCAGCTGTTCTTAATTGTACAGATGACGTGACTAAGGGGGGAAGCAACTTTCCCAAGGACACATATGTATAGCACCAAATAATACACATCTGACCCAGTGAGGAGGGACCTTAAGAGGTGCTGGTGTCCCTCAGGTAGACACCATTTTCCATGAACTCGTTTCTCCTCTGGTGGTGGTGGTTATGTGCCGTGGAGTCAGTTCCGACTCATAGTGACCCTGCATAGGGTTTCCGAGGCTGTAAATCTTTATGGGAGCAGAAAGCCTCATCATTCTTCCACGGAACTTCTGGTAGTTTAGAATTGCTGACCTTGTGATTTGCAGCCTAATTCTTAACCACTGTGCTATCAGAGGAATTAACATCTGAGAAGGGTCAAGAAGTTAGAAGTCAAGAATAGAGTGGGGTGGAACTGAGCTGCAGGGAGAAGACCAGGGCAGAGTGGTGAGTGGCACAGAGGATTTTAGGATCTCTATAAAGTAGAGTTGACCTTGATCATGTGAATGGAGTAATGCCCGTGGGAGAAAAGCCCACGGGACCTTCATTTGCTGATGGGTCACAACTCAAAATGAAGAGAAACAGCTGTAAACATCCATTGAAAATCGGAACATGGAATGTACGAAATATGAATCTGGGAAAATTGGCAGTTGTCAAAAATGAAATGGAATGCATGAACATCGATATCTTAGGCGTTAGTGAGCTGAAATGAACTGGTATTAGCCATTTTAAATCTGACGACCACATGGTTTACTATACCAGAAATAACAAATTGAAGAGAAATGGTGTTGCATTCATTGTCAAAAAGAACATGTCCAGATCAGTCATGAGATACAATGCTGTCTGTGATAGGATACTATCTATGCACCTACAGGGAAGCCCAATTAATTCCACTATTATTCAAATTTATGCATCAACCACTAAAGCCAGTGAGGATGAACTTCTTCAATCTGAAATTGATCAGACATGTAATCAAGACGTGTTGATCATTACTGATAATTAGAATGCAAAGATTGAGAGCAAAGAGGAACCGTCAGTAGTTGGGAAATGTGGCCTCGGTGATAGAAATGATGCCAGAAAATGCATAATAGAGTTCACAAAACCAATGATTTGTTCATTTCAAATACCTTCTTTAGACAGAATAAGAGCTGACTACACATATGGACCTCACTAGATGGACTACACAGAAATCAAATTGACTACATCTCCTATAACTGATTGGAATACCTAAAATGGGGCTACAACGTGCCCAGTGAAGGAGGCTTCCTGTGGAGCCTCTGCTTCCAGTGAGTGGTATTCAATCTGTCTAGTAAAAAGAAGAGGAAAAAATAAGACTACAGGTGGAAGCCTGAACCACATCTAGATCTCCAGAGATGGGAGATTCCCGCATGAAAGGACAAGCAGACCAACCTGGAGTGGCTAGAAGAACAGAAGATGCTTCTTGAAAGAAAG